AAGTAAGTAGATGAACCATGTTCTTTTACACACACGGTTTTTTGAGAGCGGTGGAATGGCCAGAATGAAGCGAGAAGAGATGTAGGTATCGATTGTGATCGAGTGGCCTCCTTCCTGCTGCTTTCAAGGAAAGAGAAGGATCTGGACAAAGAGAAAAATTTATAGACAGATGAAGATGAGATAAGGAGGAAAAGAGCGAAGGAAAGAGCTCTAAAGATATAGAGTGGTGTGGATGTGTTTTTAGATGGTTAAAGGAAATAATTTATTCTAAATAAATAATTTCAGCTAAATAAATCATTATTTAGCTGAAAATTGTTTATTCATCATCACTTACTCACATTCATATCTAGGCATGGGCCAGTATGAGATTCTGACGGTATGATAACCTTAAAAAAAAATATCGCGGTTTCACGGTATCACGGTATTGCGATTACAGCTCTAAAATATGTTATTTTTAAATGTCTGAGTAAAAAAACAACTTTTTTTTCCACTGAGCACATATTTTATTTTTAAGAAACATATAGAACATTTTGGAACAGTAAACATGTCAGGCTAAATAATTAGAATAAATAATTAAATTCTTCTTAATTAAATGCAGTCACTTAAGTGAGCCTAAACCTGCAGCTCAACAATAATCAGAACATAAATAAATTATTTTCTGTAAAAAAAAAAAAAATTCCTATAAATGAAAAAAATGCAGTCACTTAAGTGAGCCTAAACCTGCAGCTCAATAATAAAAAAATATAATCAAAACATAATTTCTGTAAAAAATAAAAAAAATTAATAAAAAATGCAGGCATAAACCTGCAGCTCAACAAGGTTTTTGGAGACATGCTCGCTTTCTACACATTCATCTTTCAGTCCAAGTTCTGATGCAGGAATGTTCAGCTTTCCCGGATTAAGTTGGGAGCTATGGTTTGGAGCGGTGAGGTACGAGGATGTGTGCACATAAGGAAAGAGAGAGCGCGAGTGTCACACACACACACACACACGGTCTCTCCGTACAACAGTTTGTTTTTTGTTTTTTAAATGTCGTGATTTTGAACAGATGTAGAGGGGGAGGGGTCGTGTGACTCGCTACGCTCTTCGCTGCACACAACTGAGGGAGTCCTGCACTTTCCGTCTTTGACAATACGTAAAAAAAACTGTGCATACCGCAGGAACGGTATAACGGAAAATTTTAGTGGTTTTGAAACCGTGACTTTTCCAAACCGCGGTATACCTTGAAACTGGTTATCGTCCCATGCCTATTCATATCGTTATTCTCTTCCATGAAAAACAAAAGAGGTATTCTGGAGACTGTGCTGGTCTTTATTTTTCCATGTAGTTTCAATGAATGGGGACAGAGGCTTTATTATTGACTGAAAATACATCTGACAAAGCTGTCCTTGGCACGTTCCTGAGAGAAGTAGTGATGTCTGTTGGATTTACGAACATTTGTTGTTTTAAGTCAGATCTTTTTTAACGTATTAGTTAATTTGCTTCACAAAACCATTCTGGAGGATTCATTTATAAATATCAGGCTGATCCAATTCTTAAGTTCTTGACTCTCAGACTCAATTCGGTGGCTTTATCAGTGAACGACTTTAAAAATATGGTCTGTTTCTCACCCAGAGTTATCGTATGACTTCAGAAGAGTCATGTGAGGCATATGAACTTCCTTAAGAGGCCTTTGCTCGTTTCTTTGGAGCGTGAAAGCTCGCAATTGAGCCTGAATAAATGAAGAATTAAAAGTTTTGGATGAGCTGCAGGGAGGTCAGAGCAAGTTTCTCCTGGACTTTAAAGTCAGTAGTTCCTCTCTGCGTTCTCCAGCAGCTTCTCTGTCTGTGGGTGACATTAGCAACCCAAAGAGCTCTGCATTTAGATAATGATGAGAAAGCAGAGAGTGTTTTTCCCTTCCTCCCTCTCTCTTCATCTATGGTAGAAGTATAGCTGTAATCTTTCTGTATTGAAGGCAATCTGAAATGTTCAATACAGAAAGCTGCTTTTGAAAAACATGCACGCAGTTTTCTTTTCAGATGCTTTTAATAAATGTATATGCTGTATACAGATGTGGACACGCACCCACAGACGCAAACACTGTCCCATAGTGATACTATCCCAGCACCCACCTTTTCTTGCTCCTTCAGCCATGACAAGTGAAGGCTGTGTTCACAGAGGATCAATGAATTCCTATCAGAAATACATTGGTTTGAAATAGGATTTGACATACCCTCTATTTTGTAGTAGAATAATGCTGTAGTCCTTAAAGGGATAGTTCACCCCAAAATTAAAAATGTCATCATTTACATATTATTTACCATTGTTTTGTTCCAAAAGTGCAGGACTTACTTTCTTCTGTGGAACACAAAAATTAAATATGTTGAAGAATGTTTTGGCCCAGTTGACTTTCATTATATAGACATTTTTCAAAATATCATCTTTTGTGTTCTGCAGAAAAAAGAAGGTCATGCAGGTTTGGAATGGCAAGACAGCATTGTAATTGTTCAATGAACTATAATAGATAAAGTATGCAATAATTTGAAAAAAAAAATTTCTGTGCAGTTTTTGTATTTTTTTTTCTGTACTGTATTTTACATGAGCCCACGTTTATTTGTATAGCGCATTTCCCACACATTGGTGTGTTTAGTTTCACCCACAGACGCAAACACTGTCCCATAGTGATACTATCCCAGCACCCACCTTTTCTTGCTCCTTCAGCCATGACAAGTGAAGGCTGTGTTCACAGAGGATCAATGAATTCCTATCAGAAATACATTGGTTTGAAATAGGATTTGACATACCCTCTATTTTGTAGTAGAATAATGCTGTAGTCCTTAAAGGGATAGTTCACCCCAAAATTAAAAATGTCATCATTTACATATTATTTACCATTGTTTTGTTCCAAAAGTGCAGGACTTACTTTCTTCTGTGGAACACAAAAATTAAATATGTTGAAGAATGTTTTGGCCCAGTTGACTTTCATTATATAGACATTTTTCAAAATATCATCTTTTGTGTTCTGCAGAAAAAAGAAGGTCATGCAGGTTTGGAATGGCAAGACAGCATTGTAATTGTTCAGTGAACTATAATAGATAAAGTATGCAATAATTTGAAAAAAAAAATTTCTGTGCAGTTTTTGTATTTTTTTTCTGTACTGTATTTTACATGAGCCCACGTTTATTTGTATAGCGCATTTCCCACACATTGGTGTGTTTAGTTTCACTTTAAATAAATTAGTTTAGGCTTGGTATTTATAATAAATGTTGATTAATAATGAATGCCACTGTAATTGTTTATTAATTCCTGTTCTGTTCTGAATACCATTAAATTTAAAGGAATTGGAGTGAGGAGAAATAAAATACATGATTATAGAGTTTATAATGTTTTAAAATATATAAATTAAAAATAAGTTCGATTTTTTTGAGTGTAGAATACTGTATTGCATCTTGCAACAGCATCTCCATGATTTTAAACTACACCATGATGTAGCTCAAGTCATGAAATGTATGACTTGAATGCAATGAAAGCTGCTTTGGATAAATGAGTCTACAAATGGCATAAATGTCAAACTTTAGGCCAGGCGTAGGCACAGCACTTTCTGAGGGCCATCAGCTGAGAAAGACCCCCTCAACCCCTTTATCAGCAGGACTCTGACAAGAATGTATAGAGATGATGATGATGATGATGGAGGA